GGGAAGTGAAGGTCTTATAACAGTAATTGTTCTTGGAATCTGACTAACATATGACCTTGAGGTTCCTCCCAGGGGCACAGTCCCTGACATGTGCTCAGTTCCTCACAGTTCACAAACCACTTTCCTCTCTGTCCAGGTGGTTTCCCACAGAAACAGACCCTGGCACTAATTTTGAAAGCAGGTAGCTTGTTCAGGAGCTGATTCACTTGGTTCACCATTAGGAGAGAGAAGTGAGACAGGGAAGGGGGTAAACCAATGAAACCTGCAATATGGAGCAGGTTACCTCTGTGAGCAACTGAGGTTCGATGTACTGGGGATCTTTAGGAGACAGTGTAGAACACACTTCAGAGGTGTCTCTCTTGGGGGACAAGGAACTTCCACTTGTCATTGGTTGAATGCTTCTCCTGGAACATTAACGCCCAAGGGTTTCTGGCCTGTCACACTCATTGCCTGAGAAAGAGCCCTCCAATACGCAACCACAGGTGCTTGCAGAAGATCTTGACATGTGCTTTATGGGTGGGTGCAGAGGGGTTACTGTCAGGAAACTATAGAATCTGCTACATTATCTCCTTCCTTCCATCATGACCACTTACAATTTACAGATAAAAAACTGGCACTCAGTGGGGCCAATAGCTCAGGTCATGGAATTAATGAGAGCAGAGACTTGTGTCTATTTTGTTCACTCTTTTTTTCTCTTTTTTTGTTTTGTTTCAGATGTCCCTTTTTTCCTCCCATTGACCCCCTCCTCCCTACTCTTGCCCCCTCCCGAGGCCTCCCCAGGCCTTCACTCGGTGGAGTCTTTAGGGTTTTCTATGTACCATATCATGTCATCTGCAAATAACAACAGTTGTATTTCCTCCTTTCCAATTTGGATGCCTTTTATTTTTTCTTCTTGTCTGATCACTGTGGCTAGGACTTCCAGTACTATGTTGAATAAGAGTGGTGAAAGTGGACACCCCTGTCTTGTTCCTGTTCTTAGGAGAAAAGGTTTTAGTTTTTGCCCATTGAGTATGATGTTGGCTGTACGTTTGTCATATATGGCCTTTATTATGTTGAGGTATGATCCCTCTATCCCACTTTGCTGATGGTTTTTTATGAAAAATGGGTATTGGATTTTTTGTCGAATGCTTTTACTGTATCTATTGACATGATCATGTGATATTTGTCTTTCAATTTGTTTATGTGATGTATCACATTTATTGATTTGCGAATATTGTATCAGCCTTGCATCGCTGGAATAAATCCCACTTGGTCATGTTGTATGATCTTTTTAATATATTGCTGGATCTGATTTGCTAATATTTTGTTGAGGGTTTTAGCATCTATGTTCTTCAGGGATATTGGCCTATAATTCTCTTCCTTTGTAGTGTCTTTATCTGGTTTTGGAATTAGGCTAATGCTGGTCTCATGAAAAGAGTTTGTAAGTGCTCCTTCCTCTTGGATTTTTTTGAATAGTTTGAGGAGGATAGGTGGTAATTCTTCTTTGAATATTTGGTAAAACTCCCCTGTGAAGCCATCTGGGCCAGGACTTTTGTTTGGTGAGAGTTTTTTTTATTACTGCTTCAATTTCTTCATTTGTTATCAGCCTATTCAGGTTTTCTGATTGTTCCTGATTCAGTTCTGGAAAGTTGCATGTTGCTAGGAATTTGTCCTTCTGGTCCAGGTTGTCTAGCTCTTTGGGGTACAGATGTTGAAAGTATTTACTTACAATTCATTGTATTTCTTTGATATCAGTTGTTATTTCGCCTCTTTTATTTCTGATTTTATTTATTTGTTTCTTGATGAGTCTGGCTAAAGGTTCATCAATCTTGTTTATCTTTTCAAAGAACCAGCTCTTGGTTCCATTGATCTGTATTGTTTTTTTAGTCTCTATGTCTTTTATTTCCACTCTGATCTTTATTATTTCCTTCCTTCTACCTCCTCTTGTTATTCTCTTTCTAATTCTTTAAGTTGTAGGGTTAGATAGTTTATTAGAAATTTTTCTTGTTTCCTGAGGGAGGCCTGCTGTGCTATGAACTTCCCCCTCAGGGCTGCTTTTGTTGTGTCCCATAGATTTTGGGTTATTGTGTGTTCATTTTCATTTGCTTCCAGGAAGTTTTTTATTTCTTCCTTGATCTCATTGATAACCCATTCATTGGTTAATAATATGCTTTATAACTTCCATGTATTTGAATGTTTTAAGGGTGTGTTTATTGTAGCTGATTTCTAGTTTCATGCCATTATGACCCGAGATGATGCTTGATATGATTTCAATTTTCTTGAACTTGTAGAGACTTAGTTTGTATCCTAGCATGTGGTCTATCTTTGAGAATGTCCCATATGCACTTCAGAAGAATGTATATTCTGCAGCTTTGGGGTGAAATATTGTATAAATGTCCATTAAATCCATTTGATGTAGTGTGTCATTTGGGGTCGCTGTTTCCTTGTTGCTTTTTTGTCTAGAAGACCTTTCCAGTGAAGTCAGTGGGGTGTTTAAGTCCCCCTGCTATGATTGTATTGCTATTGATCTTTCCCTTAAAGTCCTCCAGAAATTTTTTTTATATATTGTGTGCTCCTATATTGGGTTCATATATGTTTACCAGGGTTATATCCTCTTGTTGTATTGACCCTTTAGTATTATGAAATGGCCTTCATTGTCTCTTGTTATGGCCTTCATTTTGAAGTCTATTTTGTCAGATATGAGTATTGCTACTCCAGTCTTTTTTTTTTTTTTTTTTTAATTTCTATTTGCATGGAAAATTTTTTTCCATTCCTTCACTTTCTTTATATGTGAGTCTTTTGTTCTGAGGTGGGTCTCTTGTAGAAAGCATATATATGGGTCATGTTTTCTTATCCATTCAGCTACCCTATGTCTTTTGATTGGAGCATTTAAGTAATTTATATTTAAGGCTATCTTGATAGGTACTTATTTGTTCCCATTTTTATTCTTTATTCTTGTGTCCCTCTCTCTCTCTTTATTTCTTCTTCTTACAACAGTCCCTTTAGTATTTCTTGCAGTGCTGGTCTGATGGTAATAAACTTCTTTAACCTTTTCTTGTATGCAAAGCTCTTTATTTCACCTTCAATTTTGAGTGATAGTCATGCTGGATAGAGTAGTCTTGGATTCAGTCCTGTGCTTTTTATTACTTTGTATACTTCATGCCATTCCCTTCTGGCCTGAAGAGTTTCTATTGAGAAATCAGCTGACAGTCTAATGGGACCTCTCTTGTAGGTAACTTTCTGTCTATCTCTTGCAGCCTTTAAGATTCTTTCTTTGCCTTAACATTTGCCATTATAATTATGATATGTCTTGGTGTGGGTCTTTTTGTGTTCATCTTGATTGGGACTCTCTGTGTTTCCTGGATTTGCATGACTTTTTCATTCAGCTGGTCAACGAAGTTTTCTGTTATCATTTCTTCAAACAGGTTTCCTATTCCTTGCCCATATTCTTCTCCTTCTGGTACCCCTATGATGTGGATGTTGGTACATTTCATTTTGTCCCAAAGCTTCCTTAAACTTTCCTCTTGCTTTTTTTTTTTTTTTTTAATATATCTTTATTGATTTCAGAGAGAGGAAAGGAGAGGGAAAAAGAGATAGAAACATAAATGATAAGAGTCATTGATCGAGCCCGCAACCTGGGCATGTGCCCTGACCAGGAATCGAACCCCAATCTCTTGGATCCTAGATCGACACTCAACCGCTGAGCCACGCCCAACCGGGCTCCTGCTTTTTTTTTAATTGCTGCTCTGAATAGGTGGTTTCATCTACCTTGTCTTCTAATTCTCTGATTTGGTCCTCAGTTTATTCTGGTCTACTTCCTTCCAGGGTATTTTTATTTCAGTTATGTGATTCTTCATTTCTGATTGATTTTTATTCATGGTGTCGATCTCTTTTTTCATGCTGCTGTACTTCTGATTAAGTTTCTTATAGTTCTCATTAAGTTGCTTGTAGTTCTCACTAAGTTGTTTGAGAATCTTATACCCATTACTTTGAATTTTTTCTCTGGCAAATTGTTTGCCTCCAATTCACTTAGTTCCTTTTCTGGCAATTCCTCCTTTTTTTTTCATTTGGGGGTTGTTTTTTGTTGTTTTTTTTTAAATATATCTTTATTGATTTCAGAGAGAGGAAAGGAGAGGGAGAGAAGGAGACAGAAACATCAATGATGAGAGAGTAATTGATTGGCTGCAGCCCACAACCCGGGCATGTGCCCTGACCGGGAATCGAACCCCGATCGCCTGGATCCTAGGTCGATGCTCAACCGCTGAGCCACGCCCAGCCGTGCTGGGGGTTGTTCCTTTGTCTCCCCATTTTAGTAGTCCAGTAATCCAAGCACGTGTGAAGCAGGCCAGATAGTGAGGGCAGGTCTGTGGGTCTGGGGATGATGAGTTGCACTGGCTCACAGCAGTGTGTCCAATCTTCTGGTGGCCCTGGGTTAGGCCTGCTGGGTTGTGGTTGCAGGTGCATACAACTGGAGGCATTGAGTCCCAGCAGGGTCTGATCTTCAAGGGGTGCTGGGTGAAGTGCACCTGGTCACAGAGGCAGGTCCATGTGTCCAAGGGTGTCAGGTCATGGCTAAGATGATGATTGCTCTTTATTCCCAGACACTGTATCAGTGCCTGGAAGTGTAACACCTTGAATAATATTTGCAGAATGAAGAAACATCACACTATGAGAATGATTTGGTCAAGTCTTCAGCTGGGATCTTCATCTCAAAAGCCCATGTTTTCTCCACTGACCTGGCTAAAATGCTCCAGTATCAGTATCCAGCACAGTGTGGGACACCAAGTTGATGCAGAAAACAGTTGTGGAATGAATAAATGGAGAAAAAAATTGAACAAATGTTCCATCTTTCCCTCCCTTCTGTAGGAATCAAAGGAAAATACAAGGGACAAAGGAGAGAGAGGCCCTGCCCCACACAGTCATGGAAAAATGAGGATTTCCAGAAAAAAATCACACAACCGTTACTTCTACACAGATGTAAACCCAGAGGCTATGACCACCTGCTCAGGAGAAGAAGGTGGATGGTAGATGAACTAGGATATATGATTAAGGTCAGAGACCTATTTGGCCCAGGACTGTGTACCCAGGAAAAGTATCTCACTGTCATACTGCATGGGGTTGCTGGAAGTGGGAAGTCAACCCTGGCCAGGCATGTGAGGAGAGCCTGGGAGGAAGGTTCGTTGTTCAGAGACCGCTTCCAGCATGTCTTCTACTTCAACTGCAGAGAGCTGGCCCAGTCCAAGACAATGAGTCTCGCTGACCTCATCACAAAAGACTTGGCTGCTCCTACAGCTCCCATTAGAAAGATTCTGTCTCATCCAGAGAAGCTGCTCTTCATTCTTGATAACTTAGATGAACCAAAATGGGACTTGAAGGAGCAGAGTTCTGATCTCTGTCTCCACTGGAGCCAGCAGCAGCAGGTGTGCACACTGCTGGGCAGTTTACTGAAGAAAACCTTACTTCCCAAGGCTTCCCTGCTTATCACAGCTCGGATCACAGCTCTGCAGAGGCTCAAACATTCTTTCAAGCAGCCACACTGGGTGGAGGTCTTGGGATTCTCTGAAATTGCCAGGAAAGAATATTTCTACCAATATTTCACAGAAGAGAAACAAGCAATTAGAGCCTTCAGCTTGGTTAAATCAAACTGTGAACTCTTTACCATGTGTCTCATGCCCTTGGTGTCTTGGCTGGTCTGCACTTGCCTGAAGCAGCAGATGGAGCAGGAGCAACCACTCTCACTGACCTCCAAGACCACCACAGCCCTCTTTCTGCACTATTTTTTCCACGTTCTCCCAGCTAAATCCCTAGGGACTAAGCTGAGGGGCTTCTGCTCTCTGGCTGCTGAAGGCACCTGTCAAGGAAAGACCCTGTTCAGCCTAAAGGACCTCAGGAAACATGGGTTAGATGGGGCTACCACCTCCACTCTCTTAAACATGGGTATTCTTCAAAAGCACCCCACCCTTCTGAGCTTCAGCTTCATTCACCTGTGTTTCCAGGAGTTTTTTGCAGCAATGTCCTATGCTTTAGGGAATAGGGTGGTGAAAAGTGATTGCTTTAATAACATCAGAATTGCGAGAGATTTGACAGATGTATATGGCAATAGTGACCTGTTTGGGGAACCAATCACATGTTTCCTATTTGGCCTTTTGAGTGAGCAGAAAATGAAAGAGATGGAGAGCATCTTCAAATGCAGTATATCTTGGAAGAGGCATTGCTATCTGCTGCATTTAGCGGAAAGGGAGGTCAAACTCAAACATCTGAACCTAGAGCCATATTGTTGGCACTTGCTCCACTGTTTTTATGAGAATCAGAGCAAAAGAGTTCTGAAAGATGTGATGTGCAATTTCTATGGAATAAGGGTATGTGTCCAAACCGACATGGAGCTCCTTCTCTTCACTTTCTCCTTTAAATTCTGCTACCACATGAAGAGGCTTCAACTGAATGAGGGGGAACAACACAGAGAAGCATGGAAACCCTCCAGTGTAGTTCTGTGAGTGTGCCCCCCTCCCCTCTCTCCAGCTCCTCTGTTGTTTCCACGGTCCTGGGCATCGGAGGCACCCTCACTAAGCCTGGCCACAAGGGCTAAAGAACTGAAGTTACCAGTGACTTCTAACTGCCCAATATGACCTCCATTCTCTGTCCACCTAGGATCCCCTGCAGCAGTATCTGACCATGTGGCCTTCCCTACCTGTTTCTGGGTGGCCTGCTGCTTCTCTTTCTGTCTCAGTCACCATGGCCACCTTCTCTCATGGTGAGCTTCCAGCCCCATGCTAACGTCAGCTCCCCTCCACCCAGCCCACCTGCCTCTGTTTCTCCCTCTAGACATGCTTCCCCCCGGGCAACTGCTCACTCAGCGGCTTCAGGCTCTCTTGATGGCTGATGACTGACATGGCTCTCATATCTCCCCCATCACCTCACAATTTATGTGTCTGAAAAAGAGTCTCTATATTTTTTTGCAAAACCAATGTTCTTGTGTCAATGATGCACTATTGGCCCAAGGACTCTGCTGAAACCCACCTTCTGAGTCTGATGGAGTAGCTCTCTCCAACCATTCTCCAACCCCAGCAACACTGTTAACTTCCACATCCGGGTCCCCCACCTCAGTGGCAGGATTTATCCTTTAATACTTTGAGGTGCCTATCTCCCCTTTCGATGATTCACTCCATAAATGTGTATTATGCACTGATTCTATGCCAGGCCTGAAAGATCACAGATTAATAAAGCACAGCCTTGTCCTCAAGGAACTCAAATCTGGGAGAGAAGACAGATATCCATTAAATAACTAGAATAGAGTGCAGAGTCTGTGGCAAGAGAGGCATGGGCAAGGCGGGATGGTGGCCCAAGGAAGGGAGGGATCGCACAACTGGACCTGGTAAGGAAAGTGTCTCAGAGAAAGGAATGGCAGACTTGGGTGTTTTAGTTTCAGATTTAAAAGTTTTTCTAATATGAAACTCATGTTTATTGTAAAAAAATAAGGACATGTAAATAAGTAACAAGGTCAAAATATCAACCAGAATTCCTTCACTCAGCGGTGACCATCATTAAAGATTGAGGTAAATATCCTACTTTAGGCATATTTTTAAAGCAAGCCAAAGCCATACTGTACATTTTATTTTACATCCATCTTCATTTCTTTATTTTTATATCAAGACTTCTTATATTATGGAGCCAGATACAACACCATTTTGAATGACCATACAGTATTCCATAAGGAAGGTGTCACAACTATCTGCCCATTCGTCTAGTCTCAGGTACTTGAGTTATTGCAAGTTGTTTATGGTTATCAAGGGAACTGATCCTTAAAGGACCTGGGAACAGGTGTTGCAAGTGATGGTGGCCTTCGGAAGTATCCTCAGCAGGCACAGAGGTAGAGGCCAGAGGAGAGCAGGAGGAATCAGGGGCATCAAGACAAAAAAAGAGAGTTTAGCTCTTAAAGCTAAAACTACACTAAGATTTTGGGGATTCTCTATAACACCTTTACATCCTCACAGAACCCTCTGCAGTAGGTGTTCTTGTCCCCTTCTTGCAACGAGGAGACTGAATGAGGCACAAACAAATGGAATTCATGTGCAAACAGCTGGCTCCCGAGCCTCTTCTCACCTCTGCACAGCTCTGCAGACGTGGGGAAAAGGTGAATTGAGTTGGGGACATACTGGGTCCAGGTGCTACTATGCTGTGAATGTGAGGGTGTCTGGCAAGAAAATAGAGATGTTGGTTTGTAACTTGAAATAGAGTTTGAGTCATTGAGCCTTCATAACACATAATATCACTTAAATGGTGTGTGGAAAATGTAGAATTTAAATAATACAACGCAGTTTACCCTAAAACTCCCAGAAAAAGGCAATCAGCCTCTCCCCATGTCCTGCAAATGTTCTCTCCTGAGATATTTCCCTTTTCCATCTCTCTCCTGGGGACCCTCTCTGTGGTCTTGCTATCCTGGGAATGGGACAGGGTCCCACGCAAGCCAACCTGGACTGCAGTATATAGTTATAATCAACAATCCCACCACAAAATCTTCTTCAAACCACCTCTCCCAGGCTCTGTTCCCTCCTCCCATCTCCTCCTTTCCTTTCTGGACACTAGGACTTCACAATACCTGTGCCAAAGGGAGAAAGGCATGTCTGCATTGATGAGAAAAAGACTATCTACATCCCTAAGCTCTGTGCCAGGCCTTGTGCTGGGCACTGCAGAGAAAAAAGGTGATCACTATCTGCCCCTGCCCACAAGAAACTCCCAGACTGAGGCAGAGACAGACCCACCAAATGAACGAGGGCTGCAGTATCGAATGGCAAGGGCTGTGCAGTGAGAGCCCCACTGAGAGGGGCACGTAGCCCAGGGTGGGGGGAACACAGGGGCCGTTGGCGAGGCTGATCAGCCCTCGGGATAGCCCTGCCCATTGTAACCTGGGACTCAGAGGGTCTGAACCCCAGTCTTGTGCATTCTGTGCACACCTAAGACCCCACACACAGGTCACATCTCTCCCGTCCCTCTCTCTCTCCCTCAGGTCCAGCTGGGGCCCATTCACAGACGCCTGGTGGCAGATTTTCTTCTCCATCATCCAAGTCCATAACAGCCTGCAGGAGCTGGATCTGAGTGGAAACCCCCTGAGCCGCTCTGCTGTACAGAGTCTTTGTGATGCCCTGAAAATCCCTCTCTGCCAGCTGAAGACCCTGAGGTGAGTCTGGCCCAGGTTCTGTTCTGAAACGGGGATGGACAGGAGATCAAAGATAGAAGTTGTGTCTAAATGGGTGTGTGGTCTTTGATTTCAACAAATATTCATTGAGCCCCCTCAAGCCGCGCACGCACTGTGCCAGGGGCCATGGCTCTTCAGTAAGCAAACACGGACGGCGCTCTATTTCTACAGAGCTTGCAAGTGACTGGCATTAACCACACACACAGATGGGTAGTGACAGGCCCAGATAAGGGCCTCCAGTGGCAAACTACCTTAGGAAAGTGAATATTGAAGGACATCTGAAGACTACAGAGGATTTACCTAAGTGAGGCAGGAGAGAAGAAAGTTCAAAGGCCCTGTGGCAGGAGGGAGGATGGGCTGCCATGGAATTGAAAGCAGGCCAGTGAAGCTGGACGGTGGAGAGCAAAGGGGCCACAGGAGGCCACAGAGATCATGCAGCCAGACCACCTGTGCAAGGCCCTGTTGGAATTTGGGGTGGCTGTTTTTTCTAAAGCAATGTGAGAAACGGAATGGAGGCGAGCAAAAGTAGAGGCTGGGAAACCAGCTCATAGGATAGTTTCAGTTGTTCCTGTAAAGGTGGTAAGAGCTTGGGCTAAGGGAAATTACAAGTGTCTGTAAGAAATGGTGGTATCTTGGACTAAAGTGTTAGCCATGGAAATGGAAAGAAGTGAATAAATTAAAGAGATCAAAAAAAAGTAAAATCGAACAGACTGATTAATAAATTGGATTTATGGAGAAAGGGAGTGGGAGGTATAGAAGATGATCTTAGGTTCAGACAGAGATATGCATGGGATATGACACCTTCACTGAGATGGAGAATACTAGAAGAGAAGTGGATGGGGGATGAGATGTCCTGGTGTGATTTTGTGCATGTTTATTTCAACTTCCTTTGGGGTATCCAAGGGAAGATGTCAAGCATGTAACAAATAAAGCTCTATGCAAAAACAAGATGTTCCATAAAAAAAAACCTCAGCAAATCGAAAAGAATTGCAATCATACAAATTATATTCTCTCACCCTGGCCGGTGTGGCTCAATGGTTAGAGTATCAGCCTGTGAGGGGAGGGGTCGAGGGTTTGATTCCCAGTAAAGGTCATGTGACAGGGTTGCAGGTTCAATTCCTGGCCTCTGTCAGGCATAAATGGGAGGCAACCAAATGGATGTGTTCCTCTCACATCCATGTTTCTCTCCCTCTATCTATCTCTCTATCTCCCCACACACACACACACATGCCTCCCTCTATCCCGCTTTTCCACTCTCTCTAAAAAAATCAATGGGATAATATCCTCTGGTGAGGATTAACCAAAAAAATTATATTCTTTCAACATAATAAAATGAAATTGGAAATCAATAACAGTAAGAAATTCACAAATACACTGAAATGAAACAACATACTGCTAAACAAACAATGGGTTGAAGAAGAAATCATAAGGAAAATTTTAAAATATTTTGAGATGAATAAAAACACAACATACCAAAACTTACCTGTTGCAGCCAAATCAGTGCTTAGAGGGAAATGTATGAATATCAATGCCTAGATTTCAAAAGGAAGACCAGAGCCCAGCCGGTGTGGCTCAATGGTTGAGCACCAACCCATGAACAAAGAGATCACAGTTCCATTCCTGGTCCAGACACATGCTCAGGGTTTCTGGCTCAGTCCCCAGTGGGGGGCATACAAGAGGCAGCCAATCAATGATTCTCTCTCATCATTGATGTTTCTATCTCTCTTCCTTTCCCTCCCTTTCTGAAATGAATAAAAAAAATTTTTTTTAATTGTATTAAAACAAAAAAGAACTGTTCTAAGCACGGGGTTATATTATGTCCTTTGACCTTGGCAACTACCATATGCAATAGGCATGGTGAATTCGTGTTACAGATCAGTAAACTTGAAGGTGAAGAAACCTACCCCCAGTCTTCAACTAGTACCTAACAGTGGTAAGATTTGACACAATGTCTGTCTGACATCCAACCAGAAAAAGTGTAACCAGGTTCCAATTTCAGTGTCCTTTGCCTCATTCTGAGCCCTTCCCACAATCGCATCCTAGGCCCCCTCCAGTGGGCACCTGCCAAGCATCCATCTTCAGCTCAAGACCCAAACTCAGCGCCCTCCCCTGCGGTTTCCCAGAGGCTCCTTAAACTAGACTCTCCTCCCTCACCAAAGAAAACTTGTTCTTCCTCCCAGGACCAGCTAGATAATTTGTAGGATCGAGTACAAAATGAAAATGCAGTTCCCTTGCTCAAACATCAGGAAAAACGTGCTGTTAAAGGTACTAAGATATAAAGCTTTATTCCCTCGACCCCAGTCTCTCCCTCTTTCGTGGTGACTTTTATTTGCTGTTTGATGCTGCAGTCCTTTCACATGCTCCAGCTGCATGCAGACCCTCTCAGGTGCCTGGGGGCCCTACCCACAAGTTAGTAAGACCACAGCCCAACATATGCCAGGTTTCCCCTCCCATTAGCCTGTAGACCCATGCACCATGCCCTAGAGTGGGTGGGAAAGTCAAGCCAGACTTCTCCACCCATGGGCCCATCACCCCAAACCACCATAGAGGGAAGACCACCAAAGATCCCCATCCGAACCCAAAGCAGATGGGAGACCCATCCCCTGGCAGAGTATTTCCATGAAGCACCGGGTATGTGAATCATAGCAGGCGGGAGACTTGCCCCCCAACAAATCACGAAACATGCCACGGTATTGTCAACAAGCCCAACTCCCAATGCCTGATGGGAAAGGCTACTGTGAGCCCCACAACATAAAGGGACAGGAGAGTGGGTGGCTAAGTGCTCTTCACACAGACTGGGGGAGATGGCAGGAGATGGGAACATATGTGAGACAAAGCTCCATTGTCCCATCAGAATTCACTTACAAAACACAAATTCAAAACACAAATTATGAAGAAATGCAAGGTGGCAACCACAGAGCAATAAACCCAAACAACTGCGTGTCCATGAGGCTGACGCTGCCTCCATCACAGTGTCTCGCTAGGTGGCAGCAGCAGCAATTCTGTATCTACTCCAGAGGCCTCCCTGAGAGCACTCGGTGTCTCTCCCCACATCTAGAGGGGCCCCAAGTGCTGTTGGGTCCACAGAAACATCTCCCTCAGGCAGCGCTCTGGCCCTGGTGCTCACCCTCTCCCACCTGGTCCCCCGCTTCCTGCCTCACCCCACCCAGCCACCCTCCACTCACTGCCAGGGGTCTTTCCAGGCAATGCAAAGGACACATCACTACCCTCCTCGGGAACTTTCACTGGCTCATCACTGGCATCTGAACAGGTCCAAACATCTAACAAGGCCACTCAAGACCTACCGCTATCGTTTTTCTTTTTTTTAATATATCTTTATTGATTTCAGAGAGAGGAAAGGAGAGGGAGAGAGAGAAACATCAATGATAAGAGAGTCATTGATCGAGCCCACAACCCGGGCATGTGCCCTAACCGAGAATCGAACCCCGATCGCCTGGATCCTAGGTCGACCCTCAACCGCTGAGCCACGCCCGGCCGGGGAAGACCTACCGCTATCTTGATATTTTCTATCTTTACCCTCAAATTTCATCTCTCCTCATGTAGCCTTCCTGCCAACATCACTAAACTAAACACGTGCTGTAAGCTCACATCCACTGCCAGCCAGGAGAGCCCCTCCTCCACCCTCACCTAGGCGAACTCCTACTCACCATTCAAGGCACCCCTCAAAGGTCTGCTCTTCCTTCACTGGTCAGAATCAACCCCTCATTCCCCTGCCTTCAGTGACACCCGACATGGCCCTCTCCTCTCCACTCCATTTCAACACTCATCAACCACACCCTTATTAAGTTCCTACTATGTGTGAGACACTGCCCAAGGCGCTGGGGTACAACTAGTAATGAAAACTCCTTCCCCTTGGAGCACACATTCTGGAAGAGATAACAACAAGCAGATAAGTAAAGTATCTCGTATGGGATGTGGGATAGAGGGAAAAGTAAAGCAGAAAGGAATGGGGGTTGGGGCTGGGGCTGGGATTTTAAACAGGGAGGGTGGTGAGGCAAGATTTCACCAGGGTAACTTCTGAGTAAATGCCTGAAGCAGGTGAGAGAACCAGCCATGAGATAGATACCAGGTGAGAAGATTGTTCCTGGCAGAAGAAATGTCCGGTGCAAAGGTCCTGAGATGAGACTGTATCAGGAGTGTTTAAGGAACAGCAAGGAGGTCAGTGAGGTTTAGATAAAAGGGACAGGAGGTGAGAACAGAAATGATAAGGAGCCAGATCTCCAGGGCCCCAGCGTCAAAGGCAAGGACCTTTGATGACATGGAAACAGGAAAGGCTCAGATGACATGGAAACAGGACAGGCTTTAGGTCCAAAGAGATCTGAAAATTGACCTACTGTCCTCTGTTTCTATGTCAATCCCCTAGTACCTGTGCATTTTGGGGGGTCTGGGGGGCAGCTTACTTAACTTCTGCCTGGCCCAGAAGAGGTGCAAGTGGGCGCTTGCTGGTGCTTGTGGGACCAACAGGTGAGCAAACTCAAGGCTATCAGTGCGTGTCTCCCGTAGGTTGGCCGGCTGCAGCCTCACACCACAAAGCTGCAAGGACCTTGCCCCTGTGCTGAGAACCAGCTGGAGCCTGAAAGAGCTGGACCTGAGCTTCAACCTGCTCCTGGACACGGGAGCCAAGTGCCTTTTCCAGATGCTGGAACATTCCTTCAGCAAGCTGCAGCAACTGCTGTAATTGCTCCTCCTTGACACTACTTTGAGGGGTGGGCAAAGGAGGACCATGGGTCAGAGAGAAGGTGAGAGCTAGATAGGATGGGTGGTTTAGTTGGGAGTAGATAGACATCTTAGTGTTGAAATTCACCAAAGCATCCCGTGTCAGCTAACTGGGCATTTGGAAGGGCCGATGTAGTTAACAATTAGGCTCAGTGCACAAGTGGAACGTTGGGTAAATAAATCGTACAAAGTTGATGTGGAGAGTGGACAAGATTGGTGAGAATCACACAGGAGTGAGAAGCAGTGATGAACTGCATCCTGAGTGTGGCTCCTTAGCTGCAGGAGAAAATTAAAATCTCCCAGGTTATCGCAAGCCAGAGTCTTTGTCTTTGTTTAATGTCACCAAGGATCCCCTACGGGCCACAGGTGCTAGAAAGAAAAACCATACCCTAGTTACCCCGAGGAGAAGGCCCTCAGGACAATGACTGTGGGCCCGTGCAAATCTCTCCCACAGGCTGGTCAGCTGTGGCCTCACATCTGGCTGCTGCGAGAACCTGGTCTCCATGCTCAGTAACAACTTCCTGCTGTCAGAGCTGGACCTGCGGCAGAACGACCTGGGCGACCTCGGCGTGAGGCTGCTCTGTGATGAGCTCAGGAAGCCTAACTGCCAGCTCAGGCACCTGGGGTAAGGCCCTGGGGGTCCATTCTGGGCAGAGGGCAGGGAGGAGGAGGGAGAGGAATGGAAAGAGTTGGGGGCCCTGAAAAGGACACGGGGAGTAAAGGGACAGAAAAATGCATGGTCAGCCTGGGTTACCTACCATCTCTGCCACTCACTTAGGCCATGAGATTCGTTTTGTTCATCTGTGTAATGGGACTATCATATCCACCTCATACAGATGATGAAATAAAATGCATCACAGTGCTGGGAACAGAGTTGAGAGGCTGAAATGATGACCACTAGTGAAGCCACATGTTCCTGGGCACTCCCAGGTTCATTTCTCCACTCCATGGCAGTCCTTTCTTCTTGCCTTCCCTCATGATCTCATTGGTTCATTCATTCATTCACTCATTCATTGCATGAGTCCCCAGTGCCAAGCCCTGAGCCAGGCACTGAAGGGACAATAGTAAGCAACAGACTCGGGCCCTGCCCTCCTGAAACTTATACTCCAGTGAGAACAAGATAGATGTTAATCACATGTTGACGCGCAATGTGCATTTCTGAGCTCCATGGAATTTTGTGAAGGGAAAGTGCACGTGTCATGAGAGTGTAACATGAGGAGAAGATGGAATTAGGTTCAGGGACAAGGAGGGCTTCTCTGGGGAAGTGACATCAGGCAGAGACTTGCAGCAGAAAGAAGAGCTAACCAGGCCCAGGCAGGGGGAGCAGTCCAGGAGAAGATAGTATGAGGAAGACCCCAGGGCAGAAGCAGGCTGACAGCACTAGAGGCCTGTGAGAATGGAAACAGGGCTCTTTCTTTCCAAGAAACCTCCTGGCCTCTAGGAAGGAAACCCCAGGACCTACTGCTTTGTGGTCAGTTGGAGGCCACAGGGACAGGCTGGTCTCTGGTGGATGCTGTTACATGCTGTCCAATTCCATTTCAGGAATGAAGATGTAACCCCAAGCCCCTGGGAGTGCTACTGGCAGCTGGCTACAGGCATGGCCTCTGCCAACTAGGGCCGGCTCACACAAGGTCACCTCCCCTCCCTGGGTTGGCCTGGATCCAGTGACTGACTGGTATACTGGCATAAAGACCCAGCCCCTCTTCCTAGTATGGAACAGCCTGGAGGGTCATCCCCACATCAGAAATCACGCAGAGTCAGCTGTGTCCCTGGAGACTGCATCACAGCCCAGGAGACTGTTCCTCTGCCCTGATGTTGACCCAAGAACACTCCCTAATAAACCTCCTATATCTATTTTCCTTATTAGAATATGATTTCAGGGAATCCAACCTATGACAGGGTCCTGTGGGACTTGTAAGTTTCCTTGATTCTGGGCCCTGAGGACCTTGAGATTGCGTGGGGGTCCCAGGATAACCAGGCTTCCTTTGTGCTTGCAGGCTGGACCAGACTCAGCTGAGTGAGGAGGTGACAGAGATGCTGAGGCTCCTAAAGCAAGAGAAGCCTCAACTGCTCCTCATCAACACTGGGTAAGGGGGCAGACACAGAACTTCCTCGAGCTGGCCCAGGCCCAGGGCTGACTCCTGGAGGCTGGTCCAGAGGCAAGGGCCAGAAGTCAGGTGGGGCAAGGCTGGACACAGAGACAGACAGAACCAGGAAGAAGCCAAGAAACCACAGCAGCCAGAGTGAGATTGTTTGCTTATTTGTTTAGTGCAAACAAAATCATGTCCTTCCTCTGCTTACACCCTTCCATTAAATGAGTAAGGGGATGAACAAATGAAAAGATGTGATGAGTGAATGAGTGAGATTTGGAACATAGAAAGCAATGGCCACGAGGGGGAGACAAAGACAATGAGAGAGAGCTTTGGAGGGAAAGGCCACCCCCCCACCCCGATACAAACACCTTACCTGCCCAGCCCAGCTTGAGAAGAAGTCTCAGGAACAGGAGAGTACATATCCCTGGGAATCTGCTGCAGCCCCATGGCCTTTCACTTTGGTGTCTTGGGGCCTGTGTCTGCAAAGTGCACCTGTGCCCTGGTTCTGACTGCTCTGCCTCACCTGACATGGCAGGAAAGGGTCCCTATGCTTAGAGGAACCATTCATCAGGGAACAAGCATTCCCCTCACACCCACAGTGTGTTAGGCACAGGGCTGTGTACAAGGACCCAACTCCCAGGAGCTTCACTCAGCAGGGACACAGACCCAGGTTACCCCCTGCCTGCATCATTGTGCCTGGAGTCTGGGTGAATGTTCTGATGGCATGTTTGACTCCATCCAAAGGGCCTGCACTGAGTTGTGAAAGATGGGAGGTCTTAGCTGGGCCAAGAAGGGATCAGTGCCTGGCAGCGGCAGAGGCTCTGATCTCAGCTCCCTTGAAGAATAGGAGGAGGCCAGGTACCAGGAACAGTGCTACTCAAAGTACGGTCTATGGACCAGCAGTGTCAGCATCAGCATCACCTGAGAGCTCATTAAAAATGCAAATTTTGGGCCCCACTCCAGACCTGCTGAATCAGAATCTAAGGGGTGAGCCCAGGAATCTGTGTTTTAACAAGGCCTCCAGGTATGGGCCTTTGAGAAGCATTGGACTAGAGGTGAGTGAGCAGGAAGAGTGGCAGAGGAGGGGTTGGAGCCTAGGGCTAAGGGAGGCTGGGGTGGGGGGGGACAGGCCACAAATAAGCCTTTGGGCCATGTTAAGAACTTTTGATTCTACTCCCAAAAGCAATAGAGATCTCAGGGCTTCAGCAACAAAGTGCTGAGTCGGGTTCATATTGAATATCAGTTACCGTGTAGAAATGGGCAATAGATGGATAAGATAAGAAGCAGGGGGCCTTTAGGGGGAGGGTGCAGTGGTTCGAGCCAGGGATGCCAGGGCCTGGCCCTGGAGTGGAGGCTGTGGAGGTGGAAAGAAGGGCTAGAAAGAGAGCTATTCTCGAGGTAGTGTCAAGGTGCTCAACCAGCTCTCAGAAGGGGCGGGAAGGAGTCAGCACTGCCCCAGCTCCGGCGTGGATGGCTGGGTGAATGGGGGCCATCGCGGAGACGGGGTCTATGGGAGAATCTTGAATGAGGCCTTGAGTTCACATTCAGCGAGTTTAATTTAAGTGGGGATGTCACGTAGACAGCCCCGCCTTCCTCCAAGATCTCAGGGAGAATGAACTCTGTGTCTAGGATACCAAGTCATACGATCACTAAGGAGGACCCAGGTGAGGACCAGATGAATGAAGACACATCCCCAGTCGAGCAGCAAGAACCAGAATTAGGTATCTTGAAAGGGCCAGGCTGGGGGCATCATGACTAGCGATGGGAGGGGGACATGGCAAAATGTAGAAGGTCATCCCCTCCATGCTCCTGCCTGTGGGGTGATACATGGCACAATGCCCACCTAGGGGAGCCCATCTCCATGTGAGACCTTCCACTCCTAGAACCTGGCAAGGTCTCTGCTTTCCTCTCTCCGAGCCTCAGGCTGAGGCTGCTTCTCTCTAGAACATCTCTGGAATGTCTCAGACTCAGATCCAGGCCCCAGTTTCCCAAGGCCCAGCTGGGTTTCTGAGGCCTGGGAATCCCTTTTCCAGCCCTACCCATCCATTTTTTGAGTCATGTTCCTCTAACAAGCTGCCTACCTGGTGGATGCTGGGAATAGCAATACTTCTGGGCCAGTGGGAAGGGGAAGGTGGGCAGGGTTAGGGACACGCGGCAGCGGGGTTGGGCCTCCTCAGATATCAGGCACTTGAGCTGGGACAGAGGCTAGGGACCGACTCCCTGCCAAGGTCCAGGCAGACCAACCTTGGGAAGGGCCCATGGTCTAAGCTACAGGGTGGCCAAGGCCAGACAGAACTTAAAGCTGACGACTGCCCTGACTGTTCTTCTCAAGTAGCACAGGTGGAATCCTTCTGTCTGTCTTCTCCTGAACCTCTGGGGGACCTACCAGTGGAGCCTCTAGGGACTGAAGATGCTTTCTGGGGCCCCACGGGGGCTGTGATTCCAGAGGTGGTTGATAAAGACAAGAGTCTGTACCGGTGAGTGAGGGGACTCTGCTGTGCCAGGCTGGCTTCCCCCACCCTCTCCATCCCCACACTGGGTCCCAATTCCAACATAACTCAGCACCCCACTCATGGCCATTGGGTCCCCTCCCATTGTGAAGCTACCAGGCAGACTCAGGACTGAGATACAAGGTTGGTGCTTTTATTATGGAAACGGGTTTTATTATGAAAAGTTGCAAACAAACACAAAATTGGAATCCAAGGAACATCCAGCTTCAACAACCATTTTACCAAATTTGGTCCAACTACTCATTTTCCCCTCTTTTGTTGTTACAGTATTTTAAATCCAAGGTATCAGGTCATTTTACTTGCAAACATTTTGTGATGCATTTTGAAAAATACAAATAAAGACCTTTTCTGCCATCACCACAATTCCATTATCATATCTAACAATGTTTACAATAAGTCATTTTCATATCATCTAATACCCACTCTGTATTCAAATATGCTCCATTGTCTAAAATGTGTCCTTGCAGGTGGTTTTTCTAATCAGGATCCAAACAAAGTCCACTCATTGTATTTGGTTTGTTATGTCTCATAAATCTCATTCTATCTATATGTCCTTGTTTTATTAATATCCACTATGTGCAAAGTACCATACACAAGGAGCCAGGAGATGGCTATGGAGCCCTGTTTTCCAAAGGTTCCCAGTCAGAAGTAATAAATCTCTATGATCTTAGTCCTGATCTCTTACATAACACAATGCCATTCACTGTCTCCGACATGATCTCAGCTGGGCAATAATATTACTCCCAACTTACACACACAGAAGCTGACATCCCAGGAACCCACTCTTTACCAGCCAGGAACCTGGGGAAAGTCTCTGTAAGATCTCTATAAAGTGTTCTTTTAAACTCCAAGTCATTATCATTAATATCACCATGTAGATTGTTATTAATTATTGAAAATTAGGCCCTTCAAAAATAAGAAACTTTGCTATTTTTTTATTATTAATATTATTCTCATCATCATCACCATTATAGAAACAGCTAACCACCCCCAGGCATGTATTAAGCTGTCAGCATACATTCGGTCACTAATTACTCACAACACTATGAGATGGGAGCTATTAATACTTTTACTGTACTTACAAATAAGAAAACTGAGATCAGGGAGGTTCAATGACTTGCTCATAGGTCCACAGTAAAGAGCAAAGGGGCGAGGACTCAAACCCAAATCCCTCTGACTATGATATCTGAGCTTGCTGCCACTCTACTAGATAGGCAGTACACTGTATGCAGCCAGGCATCCAGTAGGTACTCGGTGACATTGTGTGGAGTAATTAATTCAATGTCTACCTCTCTCTGTTATCCCCAGAGTTCACTTCCCTAAGGCTGGTTCCTACCACTGGCGCAACACAGGTCTCCACTTTGTGGTGAGAGGGTCAGTGACCATTGAGGTTGAATTCTGTGCTTGGGATCAGTTCCTGGACTGGACTGCCCCACAGCACAGCTGGATGGTTGCAGGGCCTCTTTTTGACATCAAGGCTGAACCAGAAGCTGTGGCAGCTGTGTACCTCCCTCACTTCATAGCCCTAAAAGGTAAGCAAGAGGGGTGTTTGGAGAAAAGGTGATGGTGGTGAGAATGGGCCCGAAATGGCTTCGGATGGCAATGTCCTGAAGGGGTAGCTTGTGGATTTCTTAGACAGACCGAGGGAAAGTTATAGAAGTGGAGGCAGCTTTCTTTCTCATTCCACAGTGCTCTGGGCATATCTTTTTAGAAACATTTTTTGTGCCCAAGCATCAGAATTATTTTTTCCTGAATTACTTGAAAGTTTCCCTCAATAGAAAGTGGTTTCCTCTTCACATAGATTCTATCACTCAGGGTCCCAGCAGAAAATACATGGTATACTCAGTTGAGATTTTCAAAGAGACTTTTCAAAGACAAGACCATTTGCAAAATAAGGCTAAGTGAATGAACAAGAAAGGTTAGGGTACCTAAAGGTTAACAACAAGTGGGAATTCATTACTACTGCTACAGGCAAGGAGGAGAAACAATGTCACCAGGCTCCATGTGAGAGCTCAAGCCACAAAAGAAGAGCATCTCAGTAGGAGACATAGTTGTAAAGGGTTACATGGTTATCACAGTCTCTCCCACCTCCAAAGACTTCCCACAGTTAAAGTTCTGAAAAATATAAGCTCATAGTCAAAACCTCAGAAACAATGAACAAGGCATCATAAGTGGAAAGCAACAGAAACCTCAGCCCGATATCAATTCCATAAATATGTCAGACATTTAAATTATCAAAAAGAGAACACAAAATAACTGTTTCTTATGCTTAAAGAAATAGTCTTTAAAATATGAGCAAGAAGCAATAAACAATTAAAAATGATAACTCAAGTTTGAAGACAAGATAAACTGACAGAAAATATGATAAAGCATAAGTGAGGAAAGATTAGTGACATGGAAGATATCATGAAAAGGCCTGACATACATCTAATCAGAATTTCAGAAAGATATAATAGAGAGATTAGAGCAAATATAATATTCAAAGAGAGAATTGCCAAGAAATTTCTAGACTTGCTGAAAGATGTGATTTCTAAGTAGGAGAAATCCCAAAAAATTCAAAGCAGGAGAGAGGGATAGAGAGAAATCAGCACTAAACCCATTGAAGTGAATCTTCAGAATACAGACATCTAAGGGCAGTTTTTAACAGCAGCCAGAAAGATTATGGAGCCAGGTGAGCCAATTAGGATGACAGCTGATTTTGAACAGCAGCATTGGAAGGCAGAAGACAATGGAATGAAAACCTCAAAGTATTGAGCAAGTAACTGTCAATCAAGAATTACAGCCACAGAAAAATTATTTTTTAAGAAGTAAATAAAATAGACATTTTAAAACAAACTAAAACCAAGATAGCTTTCCACAAGCACATCCTTACTGAAGGAAATTCTAAAGGATGTACCTCAGGCAAAAAAAAAATGATCCCCTATGGAAGGTGTGGGGTGCAACATGAAATGATCCGCCAAGATACTGAGACACATCTGGATGAATCTAACAAACCAATGACTGGATAAAACAACAGTAATAATGTCTGATGTGTGGGGATTTTACAAAGAGACAGAACTAAAATGTCAACAACAGTAGCAAGTAGAGTGCTAAAGAATCCGAAGGTCTTAGTGTAGTTCACTAGTGAAGGCTGCACTAGTACTCCATCCAGGATAAAACACTGAAATACTTCAGTACTCATCAGGAAAGAGAAATTCTCCATTTTTGAGACCATAAGTGACCTGACAACATCATCCAGTGTTGGCCACAGAGGCAAGTAATGGGGCCTGTGCATGTGCAGACATGGATGGGGTGGTTGAGACAGCATAGCTCCACATCACCGGGAGGTAGGCAGCAGAGTATGAGCCTGTCAGGCAGCAGGAGCAGTACTGTTGGCAGGGGCTGAGGCACAGGCTTTCCAATCCAGTGTACGAGTGGCATCAGATGCATACCCAGTCAGTGCTGGCTGCCACAGACCTAATGTCTATCAATTTAATGAGAAAGTTGGAAGAATCTGATGTAGTTCCCCATGTCAAATCACAACTCAGACAGGAACTTTATTTTATTATGATAGAATGATTTAATAATTCATGTTATAGCTTATACCAGTTGTAAGCACTTTTATAACATGTGTAGTTTATTTAGATAATAAAGGGAGATATAATTTTAATGTTCTATTTATAGTCATACACCACATATCAATGGTTTGGTCAATGACAGAAAACATATACAATGGTGATATTATGAGCCTAGGTGTGTAGTAGGCTATAACATCCAGGTTTGTGTAAGTGCACTCTAGTGTTTGCACAATGATGAAACTGCCAAAAGATGCATTTCTCAGAGGGTGACTCTATAGATTGATATATTAAACTATAGTGCATTTCCAGTAGTTAAATATATTAGTGTCACCTATAGGTACAGGCATTGATTTACTTTAGACTTTAAGTACACACATTAAAATATTAGGGTCCTCAGTCAAAAAAATATATTTGCACGTAAGAAGAATAATTTACAAATTAGTAGAAAGAAAAAAAGAGAGCCCTGGCCAGCTTGGCTCAGTGGTTAGAGCGTTGACAGCGGACTGAAGGGTCCTGGGTTTGATCCCCTGCCCTGGCTGGGGCAAGTGTGGGAGGCAACCGATCAATGTGTCTCTCTCACATCAATGTGTGTCTCTTTCTCCCTTCCACTCTCTCTAAAAAGCAATGGGAAAAAATATCTTCAGGTGAGGATTGAAAAAGAGAAGACAAAACAAAAAGCAATTCCCTCCAGGAGCTTCAGTTCCCCCCTCTGACACATGAGGACATTCCAGTTCTGTGGAGGGTGAGGTGACAGCATCCACTTCCTGTCACCAAGGCAGTGCAAGGTGCACCACCTCTTGGAGAAGCAATTTGGCAAAACATTGCAAGTCATAGAACTGCTCACATCCTTTCACACACTTTTCTCATCCCTTGGGACTTACCAGTTCCAAGGTAACAGCCCAAGGGAAATAGAAAAGTTCTCTGCGGAAGCATGTGCATTGCAGGACTATTTCTCATGGCAAAAAGGTGGAGGCAACCTCAACGCTGAAACAAGAAGGGAGCAGTGAATTAGAGATGCTGCATCCACTAGCAGGTATCATATGCTACAGTCATTAGAAAGGTCCACAGGTGCTTGTGACAATTAAAACAATCATGGGAAAGGCAGGAGACAAAGCTACATGGCCAAAATGGAAACATGAAAAAGTGTTGCTGCATAGAAAGATTAATGGAAAAGGGAAAGGTGATAATAATAGTTGTGTTGTTTGGTAAGATCAGAAATAAATACTTCTGCATTTTGTTGGTAGTATACACCACAGTGATATTATTTTTCTCACACAAAAAAAGCAATAAATGAGTAAAGTTAAGTAGCAGTCTCCATGGCCCGTCCTGGTACTAAATCATTCAGCCATGTGCTGATTGGTGCCATGCAAACTAAGGCAGATTTGGGCAGAAAAGAAATGTATAAGATTATTGAATAGCTCACAGACTTAAGATGCAATTAGGCAAGAAGTCTTAAAAAGGCGGGAGGGGGGAGGGGGCTGTAACCAAAGACTGTTGAAAAACCAAGAGCACAGCCAAGGTCCAAACAGGAAAAATATGAAGAGACCTCTGCTGCAGACACGGCCACTGTAGAACCCTCCTGCCATGGCAGCTGATGGACTCTTGATCCCCCTTCTGCTGCCAAAACACTCTCTGTCTTTTCGTCTGTGGTCATGGTTAGGAGCATCCACTTGGTCAAGTCTTGTTCACACACCTATGTCATCGCCTTCCCAAGTAGGAGGCCAGCTTGTATTTGCCAACATCCACACAATAACGGAGGAGGCTCTTCACAAAAAGAGGTCTCTGAAAATGGTGGGTGACCAAACAGTTGACAAATGTACACAACCCTTGGTCACTGCATTTCCAACTGTCTCTTTCTCTTTGTTTCTACCTGCCTGGAGTCACACCTGCCAGCATTACTCAATGACCCTCATAGTTATGGAGTCCACAGTAACACAGGTAACCATGGGATTGATATCTTTCCCTGCTCAAGGACCAGGGGCTGTGTGGCTTGAGGGGATTTCACTGGTGCTCCAACTGTAGAGAATGTACTGGGGGCAGCCCCCAAGTGCCCCAGACACATGCATGCTGCCCGCCCTGCTGGGTCCCCCAGAAAGGCCACTGAGCATATGCCCAAAAACCTCACTGCCACAGTCAAGCCTGACTCAGTGAGGGCACTAAGTACTCGCCTCTCAAATCCATTTTTTCAGAGAAACATGTGGACATCTCCTGGTTCAGTGTGGCCCACTTTAAAGAAGAGGAGATGCTTCTGGAGAAGCCAGCCAGGGTGGAGCCACATTGCATAGTCCTGGAGAACCCCAGCTTCTCCCCCATGGGAGTTCTACTGAAAAAGATCCATGCTGCCCTGCACATTCCTGTCATCTCCAATGTGTTGCTCTACCATCGCCTCCATCCCGAGGAAGTCAACTTCCACCTCTACCTAATCCCCAGCGACTGCACCATTGAGAAGGTTGCTACAATAGCCAGAAAGGCCAGGCCAGGGTGGGCTGATAGAGACATGGCATACATCCAGAGAGCCCCCTATATGGGTCATCTGGGCCTAAGGATGGGCCATGGACTGGTCTCTTGGGTCCCTAAGGCCTTCCCCAACTACTGTTCCACTGCTCATGGTTGGACACCCTTTCATTCTCACTTCTTCTCTAGCAATGCCCCAATTCCCAGCCTGAACATCTAGCACAGGCCAAGTGTGGGGATCCCTGTGTAGCAGTCATGGGGGAAGTTCATGGGTGGTATAGCCCCTCCACCCACATAAGCATGTGGAAGTACAGCCTCACTTTGCTCTGACCAGATTCCAAAGGGTGGAATCTCTGAGCTAAACCCAGACACTCCCCTCCCTTGATCAGTGTTCTGTGTGCTTCTTAGGCCATAGATAATGAAAAAAAGAAGTTCCAGTTTGTGCGAGTACACAAGCCGCCCCCGCTGGCCCCACTCCACATAGGCTCCCGATATATTGTGTCTGGTTCACAGAAAATGGAAATAATCCCTGAGGTGAGTAGCTCAGATAGTCCCCCTCCCTAAGGTTAGGGGTCATACTTGGAAATACCTATGGGTCAGGTCTCAAAACTTTCCAAGGGACAGGCCCAGTTGGGGTTGGGCAGACAGTGAGTGGGATTTGGGGTGCGCAGGAATCCTTCAGAGACTGGGAGAAAACTAGCTGGTAGGAGAAAGGGTTATATTCAGGACAGGGACAAAAATGGGGTTTGACTTAGGGGAACTGAATGGGTTACAGGGTGTCGGTGCTCTCCCAGCAAAATCACCAGGAACGCACCTGTAGCTGAACACACTGGGATTATTACTCATTGCACTGGGAGAACACGCAATGGAAACTGCGGGGCCCCTCTTATTAAGAGCCTCAGAAAGAACCTTTCAGGATTTGGGGCTTGGTTGGGTAATTTGGGGGACTATCTAAGGAAATGGAGATTTGGTAGAGATCTAGTGTTGTGAGGAGGTAGGGCAATTCTATAATTGGGAATCTCTACACAGTTTCTCTCTAGGAAGGGAGGCACAGCAAGTGTACAGGTATAATTGCTGAAATAGTCCATTTTGAAGTGGGATGGGGCGATGTTTGGCCATTGTGAGACTGTACATGTCCAAAAGGAGGACAACACAGCTGACATGTTGGTATCAGATTAGTTTGTAATAACAATGAAGTCTAGCTGTGAGCATCACATCAGGTCTGGATATCAGGGACTGTCTTTTATTCTTTCTCAGTCTCCCCTTTCCACCAAAAGTGAAGATGTGAGGCCATTGGACATCCATCCATGATATCAAAATGTTCGCCATTGCCCAGATTTTGCTGCTTATGGTCAAAGTTTCAACTGAATGGCAGTCTGTTGTTGAATCAGGGTCAATCCTTTGTTTTCTTCTGTTCTTAGATGAGTCCTTGGGCCACTTTAAGTGACAATGACAGATGGAATACCTTTCCAGTAGTAATGAGGAAGTGTTGTATATCTTTTCAGTTGAGAAACATGAGTCCAACAGCAAATACCTTAGATTTTCCTGCTGTGTCAAATTTTAACAAGGCATGAGGGGCATGATTAAGTCATTCAACAAACATTTACCCAGTGCTAGCCCTGCTGCCTTCATTTGTGATAGTCCAGGGAACAAGACAGACAAGGCCCTGCCCTCGGGAAGATGACATTCTGGTGGATGAGACCTACATAACTAAAGAAATGAACCGAGAACCATGAAGTGCTGTGAGGAAAACACAATTACGCCATTTAAGAGAGTGACTTGGGGTGGATGGTCAGGGGAGGAGTCTCTGAGCAGTAACATAGAAGCTGAGACCTGAGTGACAAGAAGGATTGGTGAACATTTATAACAGAGTGCTTCAGATGCAGGGACCCTTAATCCCTTCACATGACACACAGGAGGCCAGTGTGGCAGAGCTTAATGCCTGTAGCAAAAGAGAGAAGTAAGATGGGGCCGTACAAGAGAAAGAGGTTTCCTAGGGCCCTTGGACCATGTTGCCCTGACGTGGAGTCTGGATTTTGTTCTAAGTGCAATGACGAGATCTCAGAGGGTGTTACTTGGTAATACAAGACCTGATTTAGTTTCATATAGATGCCTCCGGCTGCTGGGTAAGAATGGAGGGTAAGACAAGGGTGAAAACAGAAGACAAGGCAAAAGGCTGTTGCCACGGTGCAGGCAGGGGCTGCAGATGCCTTGATTAGGGAGGAAGCCGCTGATATGAAGTTGGTGGATTCGGGCTGTATGTTGCAGGTAGAGCCAACAGGACTTGCTTATGAAAGAGAAAGGTAGGAGTTAAGGGTGATGCCTGAATCTGGAACATGAAGGCTCGGCTGGGGGGGCGGCGGGGGGCATTTACTGAGTGTGGGGAAACTGGGGAAAGAACATGTTTGGAACACAGTTGGGAATCAAGAGTCCTCTTGAATGTGATTTAGAAAAGGGGATGGATAAAAATTTTCTGTTGATTGAAAGTGGGTCAAGCTTAGGATCCATTAAGAAGACAGGCTTTGGGCTGGAGAAATGCGGGTTTGGGTTCAAGATGGGGGAGGGGGAGGAAGGAGGGTCTGGTTCAAGAGGGAGGGGGAGGGTCTGGTTTAGGATGTGTGAGTGCTACATTATGGGTGAGTCCTGACTCATCCGTGGGGTGCCCAGCTCTGTCCCCTTCCTCCTGAGTCAGGATTTGTGGGAAATGAGAGAAAGAGCACTGCCTGAGGGGGCAATTAATATCAGTACAGATCATCCAAGGGTCCCGTGGGGCCGAGCAAGGCCAAGGAGGTATCACTTGCTGGATGAATGTTGCCTTCTCACATGACGACTTTTTCTACAGGAACTGGAGCTCTGCTATCGGAGCCCTGGGAAACCCCAGCTCTTCTCTGAGTTTTACATTGGCCCTTTGGGGTCAGGGATCAGGCTGCAAATTAGAAGCAAAAATGATGAGACTCTGTTATGGGAGGCCTTGGTGAAATCAGGTAAAGTCAAGATAAGTCCAAGGAGCTCAGTGGTGGAAAACAGAAAGTCAATAAGAGTCTGCCTGTGTGCATGTGTGTGTGTGTGTGTGTGTGTGTGTGTGTGTGTGTGCACAATTTGCTGATAAGAAGAAATAGCCCATAAAAGTTGTGTTGACTTTTTCTAGTTATATAACAATTGGTATGACTAGACTTTGACTTCAAGTTAATCTGACTTTAAGCTCCATTCCCTCTCCCATGCACCATGGTGTCTCTACACTGCCCTTGATTTAACAGATTTTGACACCCACCAGGCCTTTGGCAACATTTCTCATAATAGATTGGATATGAGATGAAAAAGTAATAACTAGACTGCTGTATGGTTGTATGAATTAAGCCAATTATGGCAAAAGCACATACACTAACCTGGATCATTCAGGTATTTTCAAGTAGACAAGAGGGAATGAAATAATGAACTTTCAGGAATGAATGAAATTTTACCATCTCTTAAACCAGCACCAACACCCTCAAGAAGCAAAATCCCCTAAAAAGTCCTTCTAGGAAAAACCAGCCCATGCTCATTGTTGAAATACGTGATTCTCCCTCCTGAGCACATACAAACAGGCTTCCCAGTGCAGAGAAAGAGAATGGTTTTACTCAGTACCGGCTTGGGTGCAATCACAAGTGTGGCCTAAACAGCTCCAGCATCACACCTCATCTGAATCTCACTCTGGCTGGGTGATCTTGGGGAAATCACTTAACTCATTTGAGTCTCACGTTCCTCATTCATAAAATGAGGGTCGCACTGCCTAACTTGTAGGATTGTTGGAAAGATTAAATAAATGATGTCTGTACATATCTCATGAAGTGGTCTTCACAAGTAGAAGCGATATTGTTATTTTTCCTGATAGCAGGTGATCTTCTGCCTCCTGTCTTTATTCTGCTTCTTGGAGCTGAGAGAAGAATCTATCTCCATTCCCATAGGAAAGCCCTTCAAGTACCTGAAGAGGGGCCATGGCCTCCCTTAAGTCTCTTCCCATGCAAGTTAAATGTCTCTAGTTCCTTCCATCTTTCCTCTTTTATTTTGGATTTTAACGTCTTTGCCTTTTCAGTCACCTTCCTCGGCAGACGTACCCATTTAAGGATGTCAGGGTGGACTCTAAGACCGTCCAGTCAGCATGGAGGACGTGGACCACCCTCCTAGCTGGTGCTGCCAGCACCACAACCAGAGCTCCCTGTGCTTGCACTCGCCTCCCACACTGTCAGGTCACACCGAATTTGGGTCAGCTCAAAATCGCAGGCCTTGTCCACAGGAGCTGCTGTGGGCTCCCCCTTCCTCTCCTTATGCAAGTCATTGTTTAACCCCCTTTCTTTGTTGTTGCTGTTGTTGTTGTTGTTTCTTTTTCCTACTGAAATGTATCCATTATTCCCAGTGCTAAGATTTTCTTGATCTTGATTCTGACATCAAAATCCAGAAAAAACAGTGTGAGTCTAGAAGGCCAAACAAGGACCAGGAGGCAGACTTTCACTCAGAATATGAGACTTTCACTCATAGTTGAAGCTATCTAGCAAGGAACTCGGTTATTTCTCCACCAAGGTTCCANGATAAGATCACATAGTTGAAGCTATCTAGCAAGGAACTCGGTTATTTCTCCACCAAGGTTCCATTCAGGCCAAGGCTGAATTGAACCATGTCTGCAGTGTTGAGGAAGAAATTGCTCGCTCTCTCTCTCTCTCCCCCTCTCTCTGTCTATGATCATGGCTTCTGGGCCTCAGTTTCCCCATATGCATATGGAAGGGTTCACCTACATAATCTCTAAGGGCCCTTGCAATGCTTACTCCAACTTACATTAGAATCAGTCTATTTGTAAGGCTTATTATTTGTGTTAAAAAACTACCACTGTAATAGGTGTTTATTCACATCTGTTTTCCTCCAGGAGACCTCAGACCTGCAGCCACCCTGGTCTCTGGATCCCTGATAGGTCAGTAACAGCCGTTAGAGACCACAGGAGCCATGGTGGCTCTGGGATGTGCTATCTGGTCCTGGAGAGGAGAGGGGCGAGAAAGAAAGGGACTCTAATCCTCACAAGGGATCCGTCCTTGGAGAGTGGTGTGTGACCCAGGGCAGAGTCCTCCCCATCCCCCTATTTCTATCCATGGAGGCCCTGACACCTTCCACGGGACAAGATAGAATGCCTCCATCAGGAACTGGAGGGTGGGCAGAGGTGCCTTTCTGGTGGTCCATGTCTTCACGGGGGTGGGGAAGGAGCCAGGGGTGCAGATGAGNAGTGGTGTGTGACCCAGGGCAGAGTCCTCCCTATCCCCCTTATTTCTATCCATGGAGGCCCTGACACCTTCCACGGGACAAGATAGAATGCCTCCATCAGGAACTGGAGGGTGGGCAGAGGTGCCTTTCTGGTGGTCCATGTCTTCACGGGGGTGGGGAAGGAGCCAGGGGTGCAGATGAGGGAAGAACTACAGGTGGGATCAAGGTAGAGGCCGTAGTGAGAGCCTTTCTTTTCTCGTTGGCAGCCTCACCTTCACCCACAGATACCCCAACCTTACTGCACTTTGTGGACCAACATCGGGTGCAGCTGGTGGCTCGAGTGACATCAGTGGACCCAGTCCTGGACATGCTGCATGGACACGTGCTGAGCGAGGAGCAGTATGAGAGGGTGCGGGCTGAGCTCACCAACCCAGACAAGATGAGGAAGCTGTTCAGCTTCAGCAAGTCCTGGGACCGGGCCTGCAAAGATCAGCTCTACCAAGCCCTGAAGGCGACCCATCCTCACCTAATTGTGGAACTCTGGGAGAAGTGACACAGACTACGGGAGCTGCTGAAAGCTCGGCAGCTGAAGTCTGAACACCTGCTTATGAGTCCTGGCTCCGACTGCCCAGCCTTTGGGTCTAGGTTTCTTCATGTCTAAACACATTGCCATCACCTGGCAGGAGTGGCTCCGTTGGTTCAGTGTCATACCTGGGTTGCAGGTTAGATCCCAAGTGAAGATAAATAAACAAACACATTTCCATTTAAGTTGCCTTCTAGCCCTAAAGCTATGGAGCTTTGGTGATGCCTTTCCTGGGCATTATATGTCCATGCTCAGTGATGCCACATGGGCTCCCAGACCGCCTCACTTGGCTTTCACAGGGCAGCTGTGTAGGTTGATGGCAGCCACACGGGGAATATGCATCTGGAGCTGGCAGGACTTCTGTAGAACTTGTAGAAGCCTCACCCAAGAGCCTTGTCCGGTGGCCACCACAGCCAAGCCTAGAGCCTTCCCTGTGCCAATCGGATGCAAAATGGATTAGGGGGGGGTATAAAACTGGTCACCTCTGTCTGGAGACAGATAGTGGAAATGGACATCTTGGGGGTTGGAATGGCTTGGAATAGGGGCAAAAGCTGATTTATTTTTCACTTGTCCATGTTGAGCTAGGTTTTTCTATTAGTCCAAATTGAGCTATGTTGATTCTGAAGTCTATTGGATTCCTAGAGCCAGGAGAGGGGTGAAGGTCAAGGCCATGGAGGGAATGGAATCCAGGCCTTAGCTTAGATGACTCCTGCTGTGGAAAGTGATTCCATCCCCTTACCCAATGCCAATATGTCTTAGAGCTTACCCCCATCCTGAGCCTCTGGAGCGGTCTCAGTTGCTTCATAAGCATGTGCAGAGGTGCCATCTCGTGGGCCCATAACTTTTTTGCTCACATCACATTGCTAACACGTTCTACACATTCAGCTGACTCTGTAGGACCTTCCTCTGGAGGAGAATATTCCTGAACTTTTGATCCCAGCTCTTGGAGCTGCCCTCTAATGCAAGTGGAGTCTAGCAAAACACCCCTACTTGAGAAGGGTGTTCTTTTCCTAAGATTTAGGTTCCTATAGCTGCTTTCTGGTCCCAGGTAGGATAAGCCTGTGCAGAAGGCAAGATATCAACAGGACTCTGCACCCAAGACTCTGGCTCACCTTCTTCAAGGATAGGCTTGCAAAATGAACTTGATGATTTAAACATAATCCTGTGTCAGCAGCTTTCTGCTGAAGGTGGCAGGTATATGACTTGATTCTTAATTTGATGTCCTCAGCTATCTTAAGTGCGTGTGGCAGGGGAGACACCATGCCAATATATCTTAGAGCTTCTTTCTTCATCAAAGGGCCAAAGCCCTCCTGTTAGTCCCTGACAAACATAGAAGAGTATTCTCAGGACAAACCTAGTTGCTCCTATTGCTCTACGCTGGGTGTCACATTGCATGGAACAGTGCTCATTTATTGATTCTAATTTACTTCTTTCTCAAGGTAAAATCCAGATCCTCATAGAGGAAGCTCTGCTCCTCTCCACAAGAAGCTGCAGGCGTTGCCTGGTAGCTCAGGGCTGGTCCCAGGCACTGTCCTCCAAGTTTTAACTCTCAGCTGGGGCTCTGATGATTGTTGGGGCCACACAGTAAACAGTCATTGAAGGCAGGGTGTCTGGGGTCAGCCTCCCACTTCCTGCCTTGCCACCTTAGAGTGAGGCAGGTTAGTAAGAAACTAGGAAAATTCCTTAACAAGTAGAATGAGGGAGATGGGGACAAAATAGTTAAATGAATAGCTGAGCAATTGGTGGCCAGCTAATAAATAACAAGTCCCTATCCTCCCTCACCAAGGACACGTAGGAGCAGAGGGTGTACATGTCTCCTTCCCAACCAGAGAACAGAGAGCTTAAATCACCCTAGTCAAGGAGATAGATAACAGAGACCCAATTAGTGCCAGCCAAACCCAAAATGAATAAAGTCAGGGGAATAAATAACAAAAAAAAAAAAACAAAAACAATTAGAGCCAGACAAATTCAAGATAGAGGTGAAGCTGACCAGAGAATGATCCCAAATCCCTCTATATGCTCATACTGATGCATCAGCATGTTAAAAAACACACCTGGAAAGCTGATGAATATTCTGATTGAGACCTCCCTTAAAATTCCCACTTGCAAAAAACACATAAAAACCCTCAAGACCAAGGGTCCAGTGCATGCTCTCCACACCCCCTTCTTCCTCGTGCATGTCATTTTACTTTCTTTCTCCTACGCTGCAGGGACCCTCCTCTTACTAACTTTTCAGTGAGCAAGAAGCAGACCCACCTAGGTTCAACCCTGTTACTGTGACTTCCCTTCCTGAGTGTAGGCAGTCCAGCCTAGCCTCACTTCTGGTACTGTGATCTTACTTCTTCTATCCTAAGCCCTTCCTTTTTTCCACTATCCCAACCTTTAATAAACATACTCTCAGTATCACCTGGACTCGACTCTTGAATTCTTTTCTGCATGAAGTCAAGAACTCACACATTCCAAGCTGAGCAGGGACAGATCAATCTCTGCCCGGGCCAGGCCCTTTCCGATGACATAAGGAGTGCCTAAACTTTAGGGGAACTCCAATGGCCCTCAATTATTGCTGAGGACAGAGTCAAAGGGCATTTCAGAGTTAATATAGGACTTTGCTGAGCACCAGTAGGAGGGATGGGAAAGAGGTAGGGTAACTGAGGTTTCCCCAGCAGGTCTAGAGGGAACATGATGAGTTACTGTGTCGTCATGTTTGCTTTGAGGTCCTTAGGGGACATATGGGTGTAAATATCCCTTGGCCAACAGTATCCTTAGGTGCAAGATCTAAGCCAGCAATCTAGACTTGGGAATTATCCTCATGGAGGGCATGTTGAAGTCACAGGCATAGATAAGATGGCTCAGGAGAGTGGGAAGAGATGAGGTTTCACAGCACCCTGAGGAGCACCAACCTTTAAGGGATGGGCTGAATAAAAGAGGCAGATGAGACATCAGACTGATACCATTGTAATTAGCTAGTTATTAGTAATAGGAAAGAAATGAAAGGAAGGCCAGACATTATAGGCATGTCACATGGGCAGCTTCACCAGGAAGCTGCAGTTTCCAAGGAACCACCGGCCCATTCCCTGCAAAACACTGGGGGAAGGGGTCAAACAAAGGGGGGAAAGATGCATGTCTAGTGAAACTGGGCTGACATAGGGAAGGTACTTGTCTGTCAGTCACACCTAAGAACAAAGATCATTGGCCAGAAGGGACGTGGCTACTTCAAAGCTGCAAAAATACATAATCCCCTAAACAAAGGAATTCTCTTGGCTCTTGGCTCATGGGGCTCTCTTGTTCCTGCTTTCTTGCATTTGCCCCTATGGCCCACAGCCAAGCAGATCCCACACACAATGGACTGTTGGACTGCAAAGGGAAACACAAACTAAGCTAGCCTGATGCTGGATTGGATTGCTCCAACATGGAATGGAAGATCTGGACAGTGGCTTTGATTTTAGCCCTGCTAAAGACAAAATGAGACTTCTTCCTTGGCAGGAAGGAGAGGGGACCTTGGAAACTCAGGGGTTTGAGTTCATAGAAATAAAGCTTTCTACAATGCCTCATCCTCCTGTGGGGGCCTCTGAAAGTTCTTATTCCAGTGGTACCCCAAGAACCCCACTTCCACCATTAACAAGAGGAGTTCACTCTTGGGATAAAGAACTCCTAAAGGAGTGGTCAACAGGGTAGAATTCATCAGAAAGGTTAAAAAAATCTGAACTGAGGAAATGCTGTCTGATTTAGCAATCCAGTTACCAGGGACCTTTGCCAGTTTGGGAGGCGATAGAGGAAGGGGATGTATCACGGAGGGCTGACACATAAGTGGGAGGTGATGAAATAGAATACTCTTTCAGGAAGTGAGAATGTGTTTCAGATTTGGAAACTAAAAGTATGCTCTCCAGTCCCCATTCTGATACTTTCCACCTAAAAGGGATTTGGAAAATCATTTAACCTCTGCATGTGTTGTATTTTCTCCTCTCCAAAATGGGCTTAAAAATATAGTGCAGCTAACAGGATTGTAATAACAATAAAATTAAATAATTAGTATTTCCCTAAGAGTGCTGTTGCATACTTCCAGGGATAAATGAGATGATTTTAGGTGGCACGAGAACATTTTTTTTAATGGTTCTGTATTTATTTTGCCATGTTTTAGAAAAAAATATAACCAGCATACTGAATTTAATATAATATTCACAGATATTACTGCTTAGGACAAGTTTAAAAATTTTTATCTGAGTTAAACTTTTAGCAAATCTTAAAGATGGATGATTATTTTGAACAACTGTCCTATTGTGAATTAGATTGTTAGGGGTGGGTAGATATATGGAGACAGTGAACAGTGGTTTCTGAATATCACAGAACAGTAGGAAGATTAAGTTGGGGAACGCAGTTGAAATTTAGTTATTTGGGACACTGGAATCTGAAATTGGGAGAATAATCAATTAATTTTTCTGTTGATTTTAGGGAGAGAGATCCACTTGTTGTTCCACTTATTTATGCATTCATTGATTTCTTCTTGTATGTGCCCTGATCAGAGATCGAATCCGCAACCTTGGTGTATTGGAAGACGCTCTAATCAACTAAGCTACCCAGCCAGGGCTCAATCAATTTTTTTTTAATGTTTTATGGTTTATTACGTATCAAGCACTGGAGATAGTGATTAGATCTTTTAAAAGTGATTAGATATAAAACAGATAAAACCCTTGCCTTCATGGAGCTCATTTTGTTGATAATGGAATTTACCACATGCAGGCTTAGTGTTTTATATAGCATGAATTCACTGAATTCTTGCAGCCCAATGAGGTACAGTGGAACCTCAGTTTTCTAATGTCTCTGTTGACAGACATTTCGGGTTACGAACACTGTAAACCTGGAAGGAAATACTTGTTTTCGAACATGCCTCGGAAGTGGAACATGCCACACGGCTTCTGCTGAGGGCAAGATCCTGAGGCCTGGCTGTCAGCTGTTGATCCCTCGCTTTTCGAATGTTTCAGAACTCGAACGGCCTTCCGGAACGGATTACATTAGAAAACCAAGGCACCACTATAGTTTCTTTTATTCTCCCCATTTTGCAGGTGAGGAAACAGGCATGGTGAAGTGATTTGCCCAAGATCAGAGAGCACCAGGGATGGAGCTTGATAAGCCCGGGCATGTTTCTGGAGTGTGGACTGTTATCTTTACCAGAGACCTGAGATATAATTCACATATCATACTACAACCCATTCATTTCAATTGTGCAATTCAATGGCTTTTAGTGTACTTAGTGTTGCGCAGCCATCACCACAATCAGTATTAGGCTATTTCATCGCCCCAAAAAGAAACCCTGCACCCCTTACCCATCTCTCTCCAAGGCCCTCCCATCCTTAGGCAACCACTGATCAATAAACTTTCTGTCTCTATAGATTGGCCTATTCTGCACATTTCATATAAATGGAATCATGCAATATGTGGTCCTCTGTGACTGGATTCTTCCACTTTAGCATGATGTTTTGTTTTTTAATTTATCTTCATTGTTGAAAGTATTACAGATGTCCCCCTTTTTTTCTCCCCATTGTCCCCTCCACCCTGCATCCACCCCACCCCCACCTTCTCCACACTGTTGTCTATGTCCATTTATGCGTTTAAGTTCTTTGGTTAATCTCTCCCCACCCACTCCCCCATCCCCGCCTTCCCTCTGAGATCCCTCAGTCTGTCCCATGCCTCTATGTCTCTAGATCTATTCAGATGTCCCCTTTTAATTGCTAAATAATATTCAATTGTATCGATATACCATATTTTATTCGTCCATTCATTAATTGGGCTTGTTTGGGTTGTTTCTACTTTTTGGCTACTATGAATAATGGTGTTACGAACATTCATGTACATTTTTCTATATTGATGTTTTCATTTCTCTACGAGCAGAACTGCTGGATCATATGGTAACTCTATGTTTACCTACTTAAGAAACTACGAGACTGTTCTCCAAAGTGGCTGCCCCATTTAATATCCCCACTAGTATTATATGAGAGTTCCAATTTCTCTACTTCCTTGCCAAAACTTTTTTCTTTTCTTTTTAAAATTACAGTCATCTTAGTGAGTGTGCAGTAGTGGCTTTGATTTGCATTTCTCTGACAGGAATGGCGTACCTTCTTGAGACTTTTCACGTGCTTATTAGCCAAGTGTGTATCTTCTTTGAAATGTTTATTCAGACCCTTTACTCATTTTAAAATTGGGCTGCTTAATTGATGGGGGAGGGAGGGAAAGAGGGAGGAAAAAAAGGGAGCAGGGAGGGAGGGAGAGTTGTTGTTCCACTTATTTATGCATTCGCTGGTTGATTCTTTATGTGCCCTGACCAGGGATCCAATCTGCAACCCTGGCATATGGAGACGACGTTCTAACCAACTGAGCTACCTGGCCAGGGCAGGGCTGCTTTTCATGAATTCTGAATTATTTATATGTCCTAAATATAAGCCCTTTATCAGATATGATTTGTAAAACTTTTTCTGCCATTCTGTGGTACAAAAGTTTTTAATTTTGATGATGTCCCGTTTATGTTTTTTCCCCTTTGTTGTGGTTTTTGGTGCCATCTCTAAGAAACTGTTGCCTCATTGAAAAATCACGAGCATTCCCACTTGTTTCTTCTTGGAGTTTTAGCTCATAGTTTATTTTTATACATGGTATGAGATAGAAGCCCAACCTCAACCACCAATGGCCAATGACTTATGTAACAAAGCCTCCATAAAAACCTAAAAGGATAGTTTGGAAAGCTTCCAGGTTGGGTAAGTAGAGCGGCTCCACCATGCCACACCCAAACTCCATGGGGATAAAAGTTCCTTTGTTTGAAGCCTCACCCTGGCCACTGAATCATGTATCCTTTGCAATAAACTGGTAATCTAGTGAATAAACAGTTTTCCTGAGTTCTGTGAGCCATTGTAGCAAGTTAATTAAATCTAAGGAGGAGGTCATTGGAACCTCAGGTTTATAGCCTGTCAGTCAGAAGCACAGGTAATAACCTGGACTTGTGATTGGCATTTGAAGGGCAGTCCTTGTGGGGCTGAGCCCTTAACCTGTGGAATCTGATGCTGTCTCTGGGTAGATAGTGTCAGATTGAGTTGAATTGTAGGATACCCAGGTGGTGTGCAAAAGTTGCTTGGTGGTGTGGGGAAAACCTTCACTAGAATTGAGTGCAGAACCTCTTACATAGTATTTCCTTCTAATTCTTTTATTTCCTGTAAGGTTGGTAGTAATGGCCACTCTTTACTTTCTATTAATATCATGCCAAACCATCTCCCAGACTGGCCCTGTCACTGCAGCAACAGTATGAGGAAAGTCTATTTGGGTGTATATAGTGGGGAACAGGCGTGATATTTTAAGGGAGAATAAATAAATACAAGGGAAAGCTTGGGAGCAGTCATTTAGGGAAACTGAAGGTTTGATATTGTAAAATCATACGATCAAATGTAGAGTGAAGTGGGAAACTGAATAAGACTGATTGATGTTGGATGGGAGATGGGGCAATGAAGCAGAGGGATAACCAAGTGTTTATCCTGATTTATTTCTGAATTTTTGAGGGAGGAATTTAAATATTATGACAATGGGGCCAAGCAGTTTAATTTGTTCCTGTAGAGACAATACTATGACAAATGGTTATATTATTAAATACTGATTCAACAGGAAATGGACTCCTGAGTTCTAATCATTGTGGATTTCATCCAGGTCATATTTTAACTATATTCAGACAAACCATATTACTGCATATATAATGCGGCCAATCAGGTCGCAGCTCGTTTCCTTAATAACAGCCTAATCCTTATGAATGTCTTAATATTCCAATTTCACTAAGTACATTAGTTTTCTGTTGCTACCATAACAAACTCAGTGACTTAAAACAACAGAAATGTGTTCTCAGTTCTGGAGGCCAGAAATCCAAAGTAAGGGTGTCAGCAGGGCCACACTCTCTGGAGGCTCTAGGAGAGAAACTGTCCATTGCCTCTTCCAGCTTATGATGGCTGTTGGCATTCCTGGACTTGTGGCTGCATCACTCCAACCTACCTTTGTGGTCACAATGCCTCCACCTCTGTCTCAAATCTCTCACTTCCTTTCTCTTAATAAAAGACACTTATCACTGGACTTAGCCACCCATCTCCCCCAGATAATTCAGGATGATGTCATCTCCAGATCCCAGCTTAATTATACCTGCAAGATCATTCTTCCAAATGAGGCACAGTCCCAGGTTCCAGGAATCACAACAAACCATTTGGGGAATCACCATTTAACCCACTATACGAGGAGATTTTAAATAGCCACAAATGTGAAAAAAGAAAAAGAAAAAATTTCATTTGGATAAAAAGTAATATTGAAGAAGGAAATATACCATGACATTACAGACAGAAAATCGAAAACCAAGCCGTTAAAAACATGTATTTCATGTACAAGATTGGAAAAAGAACTCTTTGATAATAAACATATTCCAGGTAAACACAGACTTCGTAAATCTATGAATATTTAATTGCAAACATTAATACCCTAGGTTACTCTTCTACACAAAGGAGAAACTCCAAATCCTGTTATTAGGGAGACATGGACAAACCATATCTTGAGAGTAACTACTGCCAAACCTTCCCTTTCCTTGGGAGACCTAACATGTTACATGGATTAATTACAAAATGAAACATCAGACTCTACTGAGTTTAAACGAAAGACACAGCTAAAATTTCCCACTGAGGGCATTAAATATTTGATGTCTATGAGTGTGACTGCATAAGTTAATTAAATATTAGGTACAAGAAAAATTCCAAAACTATCTGAAATATGAATTAAAAAATGGCATAAATACCTAACAGTCAGTTAATAGAAACTTTGTTATTGGGTATGTTCCAGGCTTCCTTTTTTGTCCAAAGTCTTCCACTACTGGGCTCCAAGACAGTAAAATGTTTAACACCATCAAGGCCTTGGTCATGGAAAGGGTTTATTTTAGAAATAAAAACAATTTATTTCTTCTTTACTAAAGATCAGGGTTGTTTTCTCTGCTACTTGCTTCTTTCAACTAGTTATCATGTAAGAAAACATGGGCAAAAGCAAGCGTTCTATGTTGGCTGTCCCACAGTGTAGTGGCTGATTAATAAAGAAGCCACCCACTCAACCTTTTAGTCATTTGGTCTCATCTAAAGATTAAGTTAAAAGGATCAAGGTTACAAAGGACTCATGACCAAGATACACCTTTTACAAACATCTTTGGCCACGAAAAGCTTTATTTCTTCATCATGCCCCCAAATAAGTCTTTAATGGGTCAGGAATCCCTTCCCACCTATTAGAGGCCTGTAAGGAATAAATGCTTCAGAGATTAGTTCAGAGCAATACATAGATATGCCAGGAGTGGACCAAACAAGGAAAGTGTGGAATACAAGAGTAAACAAAGAAAATCCCACAAAATATACAGTTCACTAACATAAGAATCATTGATACAAATTCCTTACTCATTCTACTTTTTACCAGCTCCTTTTATGCTTTAGAAATTAAGATATTTTCAGTCTTTTGCTTTCCTTTTCCACATTGTCTCTAACATCCTGGAGTTTTCTGGAGTTCTGTACCAGGAACACCAAGCTGTCTCTAAAATCACTAGTCCCATGATTTCTGCCAACATTTTCAAGCTCATCAAACAAAGCCAATGTCTGTTTAAGTTTGGCCTGAACAATTTTTTGCTCTTCTAATTCTGCAAGAAGGGCCTGCTTAGTGCATAATTCAGTCTTATACTTCTCCTGTAACTGTTCAATTTCTTTTTGGAGAAGCTGGAATTCTTCCTCACTATAAGAATGCATCTCCTGAGATTTATCTTCCGGAAGCAAGATGTTTGGAGGAATACGCAAAATCCACTGTAAAAACAGCTGCTCCATTTTGACAAAAAGATTATCAAAACGTCCTTTCATGAAGCGAAGAAACTTCTCTGTGCAATTACGAACCTGGACCGGGCTAATCTCACAGTTTGGGATGCCATCCAGCTTCTTCAGAATAACCTGTTCCACAGCCTGCATCACTTCAAATAGGTAGTCTTGAAATGCAATGTAGATCCTGAGCATGCAAGTTTGCGGTGTGAAGCCAAAGAACTGGGCCTCATAGGTCATTGGATCAACAGACATCTTGGCTTATTTTGCTGTTAATTTTGATTGTGAAAAACCTGCAAGTATAAAAAAAAGTATCATTTGGATAAAAAAGTCATCTGAGGAAAGTAACAAATCACATTACAGATAGAAAAGTTTGCGTTCCTTGATACCTAATGCCAATTCTAGCCTCCCTCAACCAGAATATGTGCAAACCCTCGCCCTCTCTGAGGCTGTTTCCACCTGTCTGTAGCTTCCCTTACCCCCTCATTTCCCTTACCTCTCATTTATTGAGGACTCTGGCCTGTGGCTCAGTCTTCTGAAGTCTGTTATCTTCCTAGACAACGGTTCAAACTTAGACAAATAACCTAACCAGCACCCTAGAGACTCAATATCATGAGATTCAATGGCTTCATTCTTTTAGCCACCTCGTTCTTGATATTTGTAATTTCTCTCCCCAAATGCCCTATTTTTTTTTGACAATTTCCTGTGCTATTCTTCCAAGTCTCATTCACATACTCATGCTATACCTTAATCAAGACTTTCAACCCTCTGATTCTCTCTTCCTTGCACTCAGTCTGTTCCACTTCACTTCTTTCCCTAACCATTTTAGGTTCCACCAACGATCACTTTAACCACTCCCTTGCCAATGTCCTCAACTCCCTGTGCTTCCAATCCAGCCAATGGGGGGAAAATCCCAGTTAGAAGCTCAACAAGCTCCTTGTCAGCTTCACAAACCCAACATGTTTTTTCAAGGGTCTAGAAGTCATTAATTTAGAATGTAAACATCTAAGAAAAGAGAGCTCTTATTTCCTTGTCACTGTGGGAGTTTAACCTAGGCATCTTTTTTCTGAGCTATAATCATATGCTTGCCACAGATTTATAAGAGAAGTTTTATTATTCCTTCGGATAAAGACAAGTAGCAAAATAAATGGATACCTCAATTGCCAGGTGAATTTAGGATGGATGAACTTTATGAAAGAATTTGAAGCAAATGGCAGTCAAATTTTTTTATGGAAAGACAAGATGCCGTTAATTTTGAGACTTTACATATGTAATGGCTAAAACAGAATGGTTGTTACTGCTTGGATGCATAAGTAGGGTAGAATTTCTTTCTGTCTTTGTAATTTCACTCAGATTGTCTACAGTGCCTTGTAATCTGACTATGACTATTCTGTAATAAAACTACTTTCTTTTCTATGTCTTGTGGAAAGAGGTCTCTGGGTTGGCAGGGTTTTTATTGCCTCGACACTCCTCTATGCCTTCAGGATCAAGTGCAAAACTCTTTTCAACATGGCTTACAAGGGCCTTCATCATCCAACCTTGACTAACCAAATGCTGTCCCTCTTAAGGACCTCACATGTGCACAGTTGAGCTCATAACACTTCCTTTTCACTGCACTCTATTTTCAGTTCATACTAGGTCTTCTCTTATTTTATTCTTCCACCTTTCATCTTCCATAGGAACCCACTCTAACATTTGTTTGCCTTGTTTCTGTTTCCATCACCATCTATCCCCGATATGCCCTCTTCCGCCTCCACCCCCACCCCCGCAATCACCACTGTTGTCCATGTCCATGAGTTCTTTCTTCTTTGTTGCTCATTCCCTCTACCCAGCCCAACACCCCCCTCTACTGTTTTTAACATAGGCTTTTTCAATTAATCTTTCATTTTAATTCAACTTTAATAGGTTTTAGATATATGTTCTTTAAAAATACAGTTTTTTCTATGTATGTTTACATTTTCCTTTACATTTGCAATCACTTCATGTTGTTATACTTCAGTTTATTTCACTGGTTCTGCTGGAAGTGTTCCAACAATTTTATCATATGTATATACCACATTTAATGTCCGTTCTCCTTGTGACAAACACCTAGTCTGCATTCAGCACCTTACTACCAGAAATGATGTTGTAATAAACACCTTCTTATGATGTCTCCTTAGGGACTTGCTGGATATTTACACAGGGAAGTAACTGCTAGCCATAGAATTGACTCATAATTTCACTAAATACTGCCAAAACGTTCTCCAGAGCATTGGGCAGTGGGTAGGTCCTACACTGGTTTACACCCCCACTTCCAGTATATGAGAATTTCTCATATCTTCACCAATGTTTATTCACCATTCTAATTCTTGCCAATCTAGCAGATATACAGTTGTTTTAGTGTTGTTTTTAGAAAACCAAAACTATCTAGCCCCACACACAAGCTGGATACTGAGGACTGAAACTACCTACACTCCCCTACCCCAACAAACAACTTACTGTTTACATTAGCGTGACTTTACTATTCTAGGAGACCAGTACACTTTCACTGTTTTAATGGCTTGAACTGCCCCAAAGATGGATCAACTCTTCAATGGGGATCATCAACAATTTGTAACCTAAGATTCTCTGAAACCCCCGTCTCAGCTGTTTCTACCAATCCTGGGCTGTTACTTCACCATCCCTCCCAATCCTAGTCAAGTCCCCAAACTGAAAGACCCACCTTAAACCAAACTTGCAATTCTCAAAAAATTCCGATTTTCCCTTTCTTCCCCAGGAGACACTGCCAAAGCCCTTTCGAGGTCCGCTGCTCTCCCTTACCAGGGTCAGCAATACATGCAGCATTGTTTTACGAACAGGTTGTGAGGGTGATATTTGGGGAGCAGGCAAAAATACTTTTAAGTGCATTTCTCTCATTACCAGGAGAGTTGGGTACCACTTATATACGTGTTAGCTTTTCAGGTTTCTCCTTCTGTGAACTGCCCATTCACATCCGTTTTAAAAACCACTCTCTCCATCCTTTTACTTGGTTCCTTCCTTATATACAACCAGATCTGATGGCCACTCCCTATTCCAAAAACCTTTAGCGCTTCCTTATTGTTTGTCAAGATCTGACTACTCTTTCCGACCAAACCGAACTATTTCCTTTCCCCGTGATGCCTTTCCCTCAGGGAAAGACGCCTTGGCCAAATGTCCTTCAAGGGTCAGTTTAAATTCACTTCCTTGGTGACGCAGCCCCTCCTCTGAACCCCGTCAGGACCCTTCTTCGGGCACTGAGTTAGTTCTACTTTTGGGTGTTCTCACGGGCCTGCCTCACCTTCTCTGCGAGCCCTAGAGTTCCTGAGGGTAGGACGAAGCCGGCTTAGCAACATCTGCAGAATAAGCACGGGAGGTGCCCAGAGCACCTCAACAAGTTGAGCTGCCAGAGCTGCAGAAAACGGCCGCGGTGAACTGCTTCCGGCCAAGGACCCGCTCCCGACCCCGCGGCATGCCGGGACCTTCAGGCGGAGGCCCCGCCGCCGGGCAGATGATGCCTAACCCAGTTCCCTCTCCGCCTCAGAAAGAGTGCAGCCCCGCGGCACTTACCGAAGCGACCATGAGAGTGACAAATCCGATCAAACAGTGGCTTCGCGCCACATCCTTCCAATCACCTCTTGCTGCCAGAGATCGGCTGCGCGGATGGCTCCCCAAAATTCCGAACGGTACCCACCTCAGGAAACGAGAGCAAAGGCGGGATGCTGTGGCGCTTCCGATTGGTTGGCTTTTCGATCAGCAGAGGGCCACCTAGATTGGTGGCTGAAAGGGGCCGGGCGGGAAAGCTAGCTGTGGCCAGCCGGGATTGGCGAGAGGAACCTACTTACTCTCTCCTCCGCGACGTGGGTGGGTCCGGAAGCCAGGCTGGATTGCCGCCGAGACGCAACTCGTGATTGGTGGATGGCTTTCCTTCGGGCTCTTGCGATTGGTGGCTGGCAGGTTGCGCGGCGCCGATTGGACAGCAGTGGGCAGGGTAACGGGAGGCCTCTCTGGTCCCGCCCCCGGTTTGGCTGACTGGCGGAAGGGGAAGTGGGGCGGGGGGGCAGGCGGCGGTGGGGAAGATGGCGTACCAGAGCCTCCGGCTGGAGTACCTGCAGATCCCACCGGTCAGCCGCGCCTACACCACCGCCTGCGTCCTCACTACCGCTGCTGTGGTGAGCAGATGCAGCGCCACGTTCACATTTTCCGGGATGGATACGATCGGGTCGTCAGGGAACTGGGGTTTGGGCCTCAGGGAAGCCCAGATGAGTTGGTCTCCGGGGTGGGTGGAGGGAACCGGGCTCACTCCGGGGTTCGGAATTGCTTTGAGACTGCTTATCCAGTGGCCCGAGAAGGGAGTGCCGCTGCAGGAGGGTTGGAGGACCAGGACTGCAGTTGAGTTTCTGAGAAATGAAGGCAAGTCAAGGCAGCGGGAGCCGCCCACCCAGAAAACGTGCCTGAGAACTCTGGCCATGGCCAAGTGGTACCGCCGTGATTAGTGGGGGGTGAAAGCCCGCTTATGAAGAAACGTAGATACTTAAGGTAGAAAGCTGGAAGTTGTCGAGACGGAAGAGTCCTGAAATAGAGCGTGGATGCATAGGTTGGCTGGAAGCACCCAGCCCCGACGGTGGCAGGGCCTTTAGTCTCGGTTCTTTCACTGAGTTGTGTTGCTTCACCCACCTGTTTCAGGTGATGCCCATGTGATGGGCAGATTAGTAGCAGCTGCTCTTTCCTTGCCCTATATCTAACATATCACCATCTGCATCCCATCCCTTCATGCCAGCCTCAACTGTTGCAACATCAAGCAAACTTTTATTCTGTGTTAGGTATTGGGGATACAAAGAATTGTACCAGTTCTAGAGAATTCTTTACCAGCCTCGCCCTGAGACCTTAAGGTATTCAGTCTAGGTCACTGAGAGTTGGAAATTGCTAGCCTTACTAATCGTTCATTGTAGGTGATGAGATTTTGTCTCTTAATTGATTTACTTTAAGGAGCTCTTTTTCTATTTCAGCAGTTGGAATTGATCACACCTTTTCAGCTGTACTTCAATCCTGAATTAATCTTTAAACACTTCCAAGTAAGTGGTCCGTCACAACCATGATGTTTCAGTTTTTAAACTTGTTCTTCGTAGTTTTTAGTAGCAAATCCTGACATATACTACCCCAAAGAAGAATTCAGTGGGAATATTGGATTATAAGTCTTATTGTAAGGGGTATAAAGCAGTGATTCTGCAGCCTAATTGGGCTTCAGAATCACCGAGGGAGTGTTTAAGAGATTCTCAAGCTCCTCACGTACCAAATCAGAATAACCAAGGGAAGGAATTAAGAATCTATGTGTGTTTTTAAGTTCCCTGCATGGTTTTAATTTGATGTGTCCAGTTCCTATATTTAGAATCACTAGTTCAGAGTTGATATAATATTTGAGAGGAGACTCACGAGCTAGCCAGGGAGAATCTCACAAGATGCCCTTATGTTGTGCACTCACCACTTGGTACACTCACCACCTTGGTGTTATCACCATGGTCCAGTTCAGAAAGTCAACACTATCAGTGCATTTATTTTTATTTACTTATTTACAAGTTGTAAGAGAAAGTTAATTTAGGAAGTTACAAGCCGTAGCAGGGTAGCTCATTTGGTTAGAGCATTGCCCCTATACACCAAGATTTCGGGTTCAATCTCCAGTCAGGACACATACAAGAAGCACCCAATGACCCTGGCCAGCATGGCTTAGTGGTTAGAGTGTCAGCCTGTGCATCAGAGGGTGGCAGGTTCCATTCCTGGTCAAGGGCAGGTACCTGGGTTATGGTGTTGCTCCCCGACTCCAGTGGGGGCTCCTATGGGAGGCAACCAATAGATGTCTCTCTCCCATCCATGTTCCTCTCTCTGTTCCTTTCCCTCTCTCTCCCTCCCTCCCTCCCTCCCTCCTTTCCACTCTCTCTGAAAAAGCAATGGAAAAAATATCCGAAGGTGAAGATTAACAACAAAAGCAACCAATGAATGAATAAAAACCTGTATTTCTCTCTCTTTCCCTCC